GCCTCCCCACAGGGTGCCTGCACCGTCTTTGTTGCATTTCTGAAACATCAGCAGAAGGCACAGATTAATCTTTCTTTATTAATGTCACCCTTTAGTTCAATAAAAGAGGTGGAAAAGAAGTGACAACCTGGGTTTGTAACGACTTTGTAGCGGGGACATCTTTGCTTTCAATGTCTTTTATTGGAAAGGACGTTACCAACTGGGTTTGTCACGTCTTTTTCAACGACCTGAAATTTACGGCTTTTCACCTTTGTCTTTTCAGTCGAATGTAGATGTCTTTGGACGTAAATCATTTCGTCTTTTCAACCAATTTTTGCTCATTGGAAACGGCCTGATATCCTATTTAATCTCTCAAAGTGAACACAGTGTTACTTTAATTCCTTTTAATAATTGGAAGATGGTCTGAATTTACCCTTTTTTTTTATTGCCATTCTAGAATATTGTTAAATATTCCACATTATGAGCTTAGAAGTGCCTTAATATGCGAAATAACTGGATTTTAGACATTAAGTTCAAACCGTGATTAATGACAGTTAATTATAAAGCTTCTGCAATTAACCTGTATTTAAAAATTAAATCGTTTGACAGACCTAGTAAATATATCTTTATTGTATTTTTTTTTATCTTAGTATGTGTAACATTATTATTATTTTATTATATGCATTTTATTTTATATCATTTAATTCAATATTGTTTATATTATCTTATTATTTAATTCATTATTTAAAGGGTATTTGTAATTAATGAATGGAACATGCATTTTTTATTTGCATATTTTATCATTTATTGTTATATTTACTATCTGAATCATATAATCTAGGTTTCTATATGCTGAGGTTTTGCTTTGTTAGAAGTCGTATAAATGGAAACACATAAAGTAGAAAAGATGTCTCCTAAGTGAGCACGTTAGTCTGTTGTTTGGATAGCAGGGGGCGGCTTTATTTCTCAGTTTTTATTTATTCTTATTTTTTAGTTTCTAGTCACTAAAAACGTCCTCCCATATCTTTATTCTCCCCCCTCCTGCAGCCTGTTATCATTCTCCTCCGTCTTTATATGTCCTCCCTACCTTAATACGACCCATTTCCCCCACAGCCGCCTATTAATACTTGGCTGTTATGCAGAGAAGCCTGCTTTAGCGGACCAGGGGGTCCCGAGGCTTTCGCCTCTCTTTGCATGTAAAATAAACAATGTGTGAATCCATCAGTGCGTGTTTATGGGAGTGCATTACTCCACCGTGTGTTGCCACAGCTTCACACATTCCCTGCCATCATGCAGGAGATTTATTTAGACTTTTCCTAACAAGCTGCCTTCAGTCCCCTCTGTGCAAAAAGGAAAAGAAAAGGAAAAGTTCCTGATTGAGTTCTTAGCGAGGACCCTTGGTGTGCAGAGCTTCACTTCTTATGCTGCTGTAAGTTTTTTTCCAAGCGTCATGCTGTTCTTCTGAAAAAAAAACAAAAAAAAAACAACATAAAACCGGTTTCCAACTACCAGGAGGCGAGGCTTCGTTTTCCTCTGATAGATCGGTGGTTTATCCCAATATGTTTACTTGCAAGTCTTGAAATGAATAAAAGTAACAATAAACTTACATCAAATTTTTGTTTTTAGCATTAAATGTTTTTAGGATTAAATGGGCTGAAATAAGGCATTTTGTAGAAATTAGCTCATTCATCCAATTAAACTCGCATTCGTGCATCGATATTCGGGTTGGTAGCGTCTAAAGCTCCTGTCACACCTTGATGATTTAGCCAGCGTATGCCTGATGTATTAAAAATCTGGCAAAAACGCGGGCATATGTTGGATAAGTTATGAGTACATTATGTTTAAGTTAAGAGCACACTGAACTACTCTGAAACGAGCTAGCACACGTCGACATACGGCGAATACGTGTCGCCGTATGCCAGCGTTTGCCTTATGTGGGCCATATTTCCAGGTCAGTTATCTGATTGTTGACACACATTAAGTGTGAGTTACTAATAAGTCGTAGCGCCTAGCTTATCCAAAACCTATGAGTAACTTATTTGGCTTAGAAGGGCAATATGCTGGCAGCGTACAATTACGAGAAGAAAGTCGTACAATTACCAGAAGAAAGTCGTACAATTACGAGAATAAAGTCGTACAATTAGGAGAATAAAGTCGTACAATTACGAGAATAAAGTCGTACAATTAG